TAGCGATTAAAGCTTGACTATCTATCTTTATGTTCTTCAAATTCATCTCAAGATATCCCATCGTCTTTGCTGAAGTGGTATTCATTATACGTGGAAATATGTATCTAAAACGGCAAGATAAATTTTGGCTAATGTTTCTGGATCCTTTTCTGGCCAATCTATGGTAACTGAAGTTGATGTATTATTAGTACCGTTAACTTCTGGTATACCATTTTCTACTAGTTCTCATAAGTCAAATGCACGTAAGATAATGTTCATTCTAATACTCTAATATCCCTAATTTACTCCATTGAAAAGTGGAACGATTTGTTGTTGGGTTGTGCTTGCGAAAGCCATAAATTATATTTTGTAGAAATTATATTATATCCTTTTTTATCCTTGAGACTTTAATACCAATTGTTGAAAATATTAGAGATAATTGTGCAAATAGTGCTAAAAATAAGAAGAGAAATGGGAAAAAAATGTGTTTTTCGATATATATATATTATATATTTGTTATATCAAATGAATTATAAATGAAGGTATTTATACAAGTAAAGAGTGATTTTTAACTATACGGGAATGTCGTATAGTCTTACCACTTTCTTGATATACAGCCTGGCCAACTGTTCTACTAAATCAGTCACCCTCATGGCTAAGAAATGATAAGATTTAGTTAAACGATCAATTACCACCCAGATACTATCATGCTTCTTGCGATTCCTAGCAACCCGGTCACAAAATCCATGGAGACATGTTCCCACTTTCACTCAAGTATGGGTAAAGGTTGTAGCAAACCCCTAGGCCTCTGATGTTTCGCTTTCACTTGCTGGTATGTCAAGCACCTCGACACATACTCGGCCATATCTCTTTTTATACCCTTCTACCAAAAATTTTTCTGCAAGTTCTTGTACATCCTAGTACTTCCTGGATATATGAAAATTTTGGTGTTATATGCCTCACTAAATACTTCTTCCCGTATCGCACGATCACTGGGAATACACATTCTGGTTCGAAATACAATTATAAATTATTTATATTATATACCATTTAAATATTAGCATATTTTAATAATAGTATTTTAGACTGGTGGATGGGGAATTTTCTTCATTTTCTAATAGAGAGGTCTAAATTAGATACCAAGGCTAGACAATGTATCTTCATTGACTATGCACAAAATGAGTTTGGTTACAAATGTTATGATCCAGTCTATAAGAAACTTGTCAAAAATCATGATTTAGTCTTTGTAAAAGATCATATTATTGAAGATATTAATTAGGTAGAGAAATCAAAGCCTCAAATTGGTGGTTTAATTGATTTAGGC